AAAGTGACCTGAGATGACATGATGTGACTTAGCGCTATAGAAATAAACTAAATAGAATCCCAGCAGTTTCTCTCCATCATCAACTGGATTCCAGATGTTGCCTCCTACCTTCCTCCAGCTGCAGGGCCAGCCTCGCGCTGCTCTCAGCATCTGGGTGGGGGGGGCGCCTGTCTGCCTGCACACATAAACACACAGCATGAGGACAGCAGGAGCACAGCTGGAGACCCCTTCACGGACCTCCGCTAAACTCACCTCCGAGTCTGGGCTGCTGGGGGTCTCGGACTCGTTGACCAGGGAGGACTTGACATCGTCCAGGTCCCTCTCTGAGGACACGTTGGGCTTCCCCTCCTGTTCGCCCTCGTCCTTGAAGGCGAGCAGCTCATCGTTGGCCCCCAGGTCGTCTCCGCTCAGCTGCGGCATGTTGGGACGTTAGCTGCGGAGGCTAACGGCGGAGCGGCTTGGTTTAAAGCAGCTGGGCTCGTGGAAAAGCTCCCACGGAGCATGTAGCTGCGGCCAGCCGTGGCCTCAGCAACCTTTGTTCTTCACGCTGACGCCCGCTGGGATTCACGCGCCTCTCGGAGCATTTACAAACAATCCTTAAAGTCGCTACCAAGTTAGCTAGCTACGTGCGGCGTTCACGGACCGCGCGGCGATGAATTCCTGAGATGTGGAAGTTTGTGTCGCCTTTCCCACTCGGAAAACAGTCCATATAAAACACGGCCCACGCGAGAAACGGAAGAAAAGCACGAAAACAAGTCATAACAAGCTGAGAAGCGGCGACATTACAGGACGGAACTGGGTCCAAAAAAAGTTGACGTCCTCTTCAGCTGCAGTTAGTCCTTTGGAGAAAGTCCAGCCGCTGCTGCTGGTTCGATTCCCGCATTTTCAGTCCGGTTTAAAATGAGCAGAATTTCCACTGAACTCTTCCACCCGTTTTTATCCCCGCACAGACTGTTGCTGCTGGGCTTTCCACGGCGCGTGGCGTGGGAAGAGGCAGCCTGGTCGGAGTGGAAGTGGAAGGAGAGGCTGCCGAGTGGAGCTGCTGTGGGGGGAGGGAGGGAGGGAGGGAGGGACTGATCTGGGAACAGCTCAGCTCAGTGTGCTGCGTTCAGGGACAGCTCGGTAATCTGATCCCGCATCAGGACCAACAGGTTGGTTCTGTTTGTTTGCGAAGAAATGGAGGAGGGAGGAGTCTAGATGGGAAGGAGATACTTTAAAGGAGCAATGCAAACTTTCCTGACCCCCTGACCTTTGATTGGCAATGCACCATGTTTCTAACTCCTCATTTAAAAATATTTATCCTACTGTTGTTGTTTTCTTACGACGGAGGATTAGAGCCAGGCAAGAGATTTTTATTTCGAGATTTCGAGATTTTATTTGTCACTTTGTTTAAACCAGTGTAAAACAAAAAGAAATTTCATTTAGAACAGTTCTCTGGACAATTTCATATTTTTAAAAGTGTAGCCTTTGCAAAAAAAAAAAAATATATATATATATATATATTTGTTTCTTTTGTTTATATATATATAGAACAGTAATATAAACACGTGACTGTAAATATACAGTTCTAACTTTTTTATATAATAATAATATATAATAAATATGATAAAATATAATACAATAACCAATTTTACAAAACATTCATCGGTCTGATGGCGGTGGGGAAGAAGCTGCTGCAGAACCTGGGATTAGGTTTTTGTTTTGTTTTTTTAATTTGGGTTAGGAGAATAAAGTCCTAGAATTATGAGAAACAAGTTGTATTTCATGACAACTCCTACAAAAAGCTCTTTCTTCCCTAAAATGAGGAATGTGGAGCATCATGGGAAGTTATACTTTAGCATCGGTTCGTTAAATCAGGAAATCTTTTAGCAGCAGCATCAAACTGGGCAGGATGACAAAGTGGACTCTGGTTGCTGATTGGTGGAGCTGGTCGGCCGTCATCTGCTGGGCGGAGCTCCAAGCTTCCTTTCTGAAACGGGTTGGAATATGATGGACTTCATTATCAAAACAGAAAAAAAGAAGCTCTAGCCTGGCCCTAATCCTCCATGGTAGTTTTCTAGTAATGAATCTAAGCAGCATAATACAGCATTCTTTGTTATAAGTTTTATTTCACTAAAGTCAAACAGAAAAGATTTAGAAATGAGAAAAAAGCTGTTTGCATTGGGGCCATTTCTAGTAATGAATAAAACTTGTATAGAGAATAAAGAATTGACTCCAGTTCTATTCCTAAATCTAAAAAGAGAAGCATCTGCTTAAATTTTTGTTTGTCTTTTTTGGACAAAAGACCTATGAGCCTATAGGCCTATTTAAAATACCATAAAATAAACAAGTAAATAGATTGAGATTCACTATTTTATTGTCATATACACTTCAATGCACAAAGCAGGATCTGTAACACACAGACATCATCAGTTCTCAGGTGAATATATGCACTATTAATTAAACTTCATAATAACACTATAACAACTAGGGCTGCAACTAATGATGATTTTGCAAATAATTTAATCTGTCGATAATTTTTTTGATTAACCGATTAAAAATCGGACTAACAAAGATTCCTCAAAGAAGACTTTTTACAAAATGAAACCTAGTGAAACTAAAATGATTCCATTTGAGGAGTTCTGGATAGAGCAGATTGACAGAGGAAAAACCTTTTTTATCTTAAATGGAAAATATTTCTATATTTTTTTATGATTGCTGTATAATTGCTGCTGTAAGGTTGTTGAATTCTCAGGTAAATTTGATTGCCAAATTAGTTGACAATTATTACATTAATCGATTAATCACAAAGATTTTGTGAATTTGTGTTGATTAGGCCTAATAATAAGAAAATGTATATTCAAATACATGCACTAGTAAAATAAAAAAAAATCAAAATCGTTTCCCAACATATTGATAAGAAATGAAATGTACCAATTGTGCAAAGTATTTTCAATAAATTATTTTTCAATCTCCCTCTCTACTAGGCGGTGCTGCAGAACCCCCACGTCCTGCGGCCATGTTTGCTGCTGCTGACTTTTAAATATGATCACTCAAAAAAAAGAGAAATATGAAAGGGAAGAGTTGCTCTATAAGGTTTATTTAAGACTTTGACTTTAATATGTTTAAATAACATCTAAATACAAAGTTACTAAATATGGTGTTCCCCAAGGCTCAGTAATAGGTACCATTCATTTTAATTTTCATACTAATGATGTTTCTTTATTTTGATGTATGTTTGCAGATGCCACAGATGTTTTTTTTGTCATTTAGAAGTTAAAAGTCTGATAAACATTAATTGATTGACTTTAAACTCTAAAATAAACTAAATTTATCCTCTGTAACTTTTACATAACAATACATCTTTTAAATGGAAAGCTTGTCTAAAATAATATTTTCTTACTAGTAATTGTCGACAAGGGATTATGTAGGAATTCCCGCAAATTATATGGAATGAAATGCATCAAAATAACTGTAGCAGTGATCAAATGTTAACAGTGTGGGAGAAAAAAAAACATGGTGCAAAATTGCATTGATGTGAAAGTTCAGAGCATTAATATCTATGGTGCAAATATGCAGTATTTTTGGTTTGGTATTATCAGTGTGATGCAGAGTCTGTGATTTGGTCTAGAGTTTTCTCAACAGTTCAGCTGGCTGATGGCGGTGGGGAAGAAGCTGTCATTGATGATGTCACGGGACACGCAGCGCTGGGATGAAACGTCTTTAATGAAGGGAAGAGGAGCCCCCATGATCCTCTCTGCTGTTCTCACCTTCTTCCAGTCTGAGGCACTGCAGCCTCCACACCACACAGTGAGACAGCTGCTCAGAACGCTCTCTATGGTTTACTTGAACTGAGCTCATTAAACGTTCCATCTTCGATTGAGGAAAAGCCCCAAACGGAGGAAACTTTAGCGTCTATAGGTGAAGAAAACTTTAAGGTGGAGGAGAAATGGCTGAGGCTAATTGTTCTGTGTGTGCAGACTAGC